GGAAGACAAAGGGGCTGTCCGGACATATGCTCAAGTGCTCATTTGTCTGCGATTTACGTGGAGATTGACGCTCATTGCTCATTTGATCCTCGTATTCCTCGGATTCCATAAATTTAACTTTGCTATCAAGACTCTTTCTGCGTTCACAAGATAAAATTCCGAGTCTTACGGAATCTTTAGAATTTATATCTTGTTTTTTAAACATCTTGATCTTTTAGATGAGCACAAAATACCCGTTAAAATATAATTCCACAAAAGTATAATGATGCTACATTTTCTCGAAATTCTAATTAAAAATTTTTAATTTTAAATTAATAATAATTGAAAATATGTAGTTTTAGGTTTAAAAATAGATATTTAAAATTATTGACGTATCTATATTAAATACTTAAAAAAAAAAATATTGTCATCATTTCTAATGTTCAAAACTTCAAATTCAAGAGTGGTCAATTCAAGAATGATGCGTTGACTTTATTTTTTCAAATGTGGAATCTTTTATATTCTATATATATTATAAATTTAATAAATTTTGAAAATTTTTTAAAATTCATTTTCTCTTCTCGCATCAGTAGAAGAGAAAGGGCTTTAAAATATACGAGTCTCCTATGTTTTAGAAAATGATTAAACAGACTTGCGGCATAATTTTGATTTCTGACTTCATTTAAACGTATTTTATCAAACAAAGCGAAGGTTTTACGCGACGCTGATTTCAGTTTATGACAATGCGATCTTCTTCGCGAATTGTGATAAAAAAAATAAATTCCGCACGAACGAACCGTCAAACGCAACTAGTTTCATGGGAGAGCGTATTTAAGTACTTAAAAGTAGTGTAATGAAAGTGGACGAATGCAAGCTTGATAAAAGGAACGTTAATTAGTTTCATTGAAGTCTTTTTTGTCTCTCTAAAACGAATAGGATTTTTTACAAGATTCTACAATTTTCACCGTCATATGCACTTCTTTGAATGTGAAAATTGACTTTTAGATAAAGGTTGACCTACATATGTCAAAATTGTATATAATATATATGTGAATAAATATATTATTGTGTTTTATCAATTTCGTATCATCAACTAAAATTAATTTTGTTCATTTTTTGCATTTTAAAACTTTAAATTGATAATTACAAAACATTAATAATATTAAAATAATTTTTCATAAAATAAAAAAGTATATACTTATATTAGTTTCCTTCTATATGATTTTCAAACATTTTAATTGTAAACTTTTGTGATATATGTTATACATTTTAAAGCTACATCAACTTTTAACAATATAAAGTAACATTATTCACATTTTTAATAGTCATATATTTATATACGATCACTTAAATCAAAATTAATATTTTAATGAAATAGAGTCACATATAGGTATCAATTTGTTTGATAATATTTCACCAGAATATTTACAAGAAAGTTTCCATAAAAATGCAGTATTATTAAAATAATGTCCCATTTTTTTCATAATAGAATATCAATTTATCGATTTATATGTCCGCCAAAATGATCGATTTCATCGTAACTTCATCGATTCCATCGCATACAAGCGCTTAGCTTTATCCGGGGCGCCTTATAAAAATAACGTGTTTTTTACGGTTATCTCGACGTGTCCGTAGGTTATGCATTTTTCTGCATTATGAGTGATAAAACCTGACACGTTTTATCGCCACTAAATTTTCATGGTTGCGCAATGGGCGGTACGCAAGGAATTTTATAAAATTGCACGCGCGCTGAGAAACGCGCCTTCATGCGCGACTGGACTACGCAAATACACAGTGGTGATTTTTACTTTATTTCTGTGGAGGAGCGGATGGCTTTCAACCAACGACTGCGGTCGCTTTAAATACATGACCGAAAAAAAAGATTCGTCCGCGCATGATTATGTATGTTTATTAAAAAACCAAATTATTAATGCCGAGAAGTGGCTCTCTAGTAACGTACGGTAATGATCCCTTAAAGAAGATTAAGTTCTTCCAAGTATAGATAAGTGCTTGGATTTTCTGCTTTGTGTTTTCCGCAATTTAATTCGAGCGGTTATAATTTTTTCTCGGTTAATTGATAAATATATTTAACATTTTATTTTCCAAAAATGCAATTAAAAATAATAGACGTTCTTCTATTTAATCGTATTATTTAAATTATTTTATATTACTTTTTATTTTTAAATTATTTATTTACTTTTTATAAAAAATATATACTATTAATAATTTTTATCAAAGATATATATGTTATATACACATATTTGGCAAATAGCTTTTTCATTTTTAATTAAGAATAAATTCTTGAGAGTTAGAAATATACATCTTCACAATCGGTCAAATAAAATTAAAACACAAATAATTCAGCCGAGCTTACAACAAAGTTCGAAAATTTGTTTCGTGTTGTTCGAAATACTATAGTCTTTGAAGAGTTCCCTCCGGAGGCGACGAACGCATGCACGACCGCAGAAAGCGGATTGCGCCCGCGACTGCAAATATTTTCCGCGAAAAAGTTGTCGGTGAAAAGCGGACGGGGACTGCGGTTTCGTTGCAGTTCGGGCCAAGTTTTGTGCTTCATCATATATGAACCGCCTTGCTCCGATGCAGTTGTATCGCACGTGGATGGCGCTTAATCAAACAATAACGCATACCAATGTATACATGGACGGTCGATGCGCACATGCAGCTTTGCGAAGCTGGACCAGTTCGTGCATACAAGCGGCACGACGGCTTTGTTCCCTGTGTGCAGGGCACGATAGACTCTGCAAATCTCGTTGTTATTTTACAAAGCGCGCCGTTATTACCCGATCTAGTCCATTCGGTGTTTCCGGAGTTTATTGTTTCTGGTCAACCAAGCCACTGATTGCTTCTGATGTGACGCTGTGACTTAGATCTGTCTGCAGTTATTGAAATCTTTCTAGTGTGGTATTTCTGCAAAGCTCATCAATATTGTTAAATAGACTCAAGACTAGCTTAGCGATGATGAGTAAATATAGACGGACAATATCGATCCGATAATAATTTATTTCTATCTAATAATTGAAATTTGATGTTCTATTTTAGAATAAATTCCGATGAATCTAAAATGAAATATTAAGATAGCTAAAAATACAACAATGATAATATTTAAATATATGCTCCAATAAGAAATTTATAGAAAGAAATACATAGAAATGTTGTAATTATAATTCAACATATTACAGTGGAATCTTGAGAGAAACGTGTATAATCTTGCTACTATGTCTACAATTAAACTGATGCGAGCCAATATCGGCCAGTGCTAACTGCACTAGTAACTGTCGAAATACTAGCTCAACTGTACAGCATTGTCGTATCTTAGCAATGTTGTGCCAATAACAGCGTTACCACAAAATGATGTTACACTCTCCGGTCAAACTTAACTGGCGCAAGCTGACAACTGATATGAAATGACTTGCAAAAACATGTAATAAGCAAATCCTAGATCTTCAGATAAGATATTGCAACGCATTAGAATTAATTGTAATTTACAAATTATTTGTTATATTTTCAAAATGAAGTACACGACAAAAATAATAAATAAATAAATAAATATTATTTTGCATATTTAAAATAAAATTGCAAAGAAAAAGTTTCTATAAAGTGAAAAAATCGCGCGAAATTTTCAATAAGCTAAAAATATCGATAAATTATTTTAGATTTTGTTTAGAACTTTTTTTGACCGCCACTATAAAATTATATTTCTTCGTGATGTGTCAGCTATCATCTAATTATCATATTTTATGAAAACGTAATGTATGGATAACGAGCTAATAGAAATGTAAATGATGATAAATTTAAAATTCAATTTGAAAAACTCTGCGAAAACACTGCGGCGCAAGGCGTTTAAATTTTTCGCAGAAAATACTGACGATATTATATTTCGCGATAATACGTAATTATACACTCACTGTCTATTATGCGACAGTTATCGCGTTGCACCTGCGCTGACATAATAATGAGGGATAATATGTAAGGAAAGTTTCGAATGTGTGTGTTTTCCAAACAATTTGGAAGTTGTGCGTAATAAATTGCCATTTCGCTGCAACGCGGCCTATATGTCACCGGAAAGTTAGGAAGCGTTTCGAAATAATCTATAATTATATATAACTTTGGCATAGCTTTCGCTACATACAACGAGTTTCGAACTGTACGGTCGAAGGTTTTTGTACAATATACACAATATAGGAGATTTCAATAATTACTTTATAATCATTTAAGATACATCTATGTATAATGATTATTTAATATGCAAATCAACCCTTTACCATAACTTGAAAATACGCAAATTGCCGATATGCTTTAATTATTTTCATCCTTGAAATGTTACAGATGAAAAAAAAAAAATATTAAAATAAATATTAGAAAATATAATTACATATAATAATAATTATAATTATTATATAATAATATTTATACATATATAAAATTATAATATACAATTGTATATAATAAATCCAAAGGATTTTTATTTTTTCTTAAAATTTTTATTTGATTATTTTTATGTAGAGTTCTATTTAATAGCGATCCAAAAAACCTATACTGGATTCGTTTATTCCCCTCTATGCAATTCCATCTTCCGCGGCTTGTCCAGAATCCCTCGGTAAAGCAGTGTTTCTGCATCAAGGACGGCCAACAACCCTTAGTTGCCAACCCCTCAAATAGCACAATTTATTCCGGCGAATTGAAAATTTCGCTATAGTCGATGGTGTTTCGTCACATCCCCCTGGTGACATTCCTTTTCGCCGAATAAAGTCACGGCAGTTTCGGCGGTGATCTTCGGCAATGAATCACCAGAGATTGTGAGAAAGTGCGCGATGACGAGAGTTGCAATCGCCCGTCGAGGGTGGCTTCGGTGTGTCGGGTTGCAAGGAAGGAAATGCAATTATTGGCCAGCGTCTGCGCTTCTATATTGATCCGTGGCGGCGGCGGTGGCGGCGGTGGTGACTGTTCTCGCGGCGCGTTCGGGTGGGACCACAATCAACCCCACAACGAACCCGCCCAAAATGTATTTCTGCCTGCGTCTCGCGCGGCTCTTTCTGATCTCGGCGATTCTGTGCGTCGGTAAGTGTGCCATTTCCGGAGCGACGAATTGAAACTTGAGGAAAAGCTCGCGTGCTTTAAGAAAAGTGCAGGGATGCTTGGATGTGTAAACTTCCCGACACGACGAGAGAACGAAAGGAGTGAAGTGCGAGGCGGCGAAAATAAAGTCGGCGTGCGAGTTTTTAATTTTATACGAATTTTTTCGCACGATTCACAGCTTTATTCGTCGAATCTCGATCAATTTCGTTAATTGCGATAATCGCTTTACTTGCAGGTCTGTGCTCCGAAGATGAGGAGAGACTGGTGCGAGATTTGTTCAGAGGGTACAATAAACTCATCCGACCAGTGCAAAATATGACGGAGAAGGTACACGTGAGGTTCGGCCTCGCCTTCGTGCAATTGATCAATGTGGTGAGATTCCCTTATTCCACTTCTTTTTCGCGCAATTGAAATATTGATAATATTAATAAATATTAATTATATTTTTTACAAAATAATATTAATTATACTTTTTACAAAATAATATTAATTATACTTTTTACAAAAAAATTAAATTATACAAATAATAGTATAAAATTATTGTCATTTCAAAAAATCTTCAAAATTTTTACATAGATTTTTGAAATTTTTTAGAATGAAAAGAACCAGATTATGAAATCGAACGTATGGTTGAGATTCGTATGGATGGATTATCAATTGCAATGGGACGAAGCAGATTATGGCGGAATCGGTGTCCTGAGATTACCACCCGACAAAGTGTGGAAACCGGACATAGTATTATTCAATAAGTATGAGAACCTTATTTGCATGTTTTATTAGAAATTTACATATTAATCATTTTTTTTATTCGAATCGAAATGTATCAGTATTGATGTACATATGTCTAAAATAAATTATTAAAAAAAATTCAATTATTTTAAACTAAAACGAATTAGCCGTAAATAAGAACAATGTTTGCATTTGTTCGTCAGACATTTTGACAGTGAAATGATTAAAATGTGATTTAGCTGCTAGTGTAAAATAAAATTTGTTCTTTTAATTGATTATATTTGTACTAAAATTATATTTACTTTGTTTACAGTGCTGATGGCAACTATGAGGTTCGTTACAAGAGTAACGTATTAATATATCCGAACGGCGAGGTGCTCTGGGTGCCGCCAGCGATCTATCAAAGCTCGTGCACGATCGACGTCACGTATTTCCCCTTCGATCAGCAGACATGCATCATGAAATTCGGCTCGTGGACCTTCAACGGTGATCAAGTCTCTCTCGCGCTCTACAACGATAAAAACTTCGTTGACCTGTCCGATTATTGGAAAAGCGGCACATGGGACATCATCAGCGTCCCGGCGTATCTTAATACTTATCAGGGTGATTTTCCCACGGAAACGGACATCACTTTCTACATAATTATCCGCAGGTACATAGTTTGGAATTGTATCAGTTTCATCTTGAATATTGCTTCGACTTTTGTCTACAATATGATGTATTATTTTGCCTCATTATAATTATAAGTCAAGACTTTAAGAAAAAAAATATTAGCCACACATATCTTATCAAATCCTAAAATATTTATATTATTTTTGCAGGAAGACTCTCTTCTACACAGTCAACTTGATACTGCCAACAGTTCTGATCTCTTTCCTCTGCGTTCTCGTTTTCTATCTTCCTGCAGAAGCCGGTGAAAAGGTCACTTTAGGTATCAGCATTCTTCTATCTCTGGTCGTGTTTCTTCTGTTAGTCAGCAAAATTCTGCCGCCTACATCTCTTGTGCTGCCATTAATAGCTAAATATCTGCTCTTCACTTTCATCATGAATACTGTCAGTATCTTAGTAACTGTTATCATCATCAATTGGAACTTTCGTGGACCGAGGACTCACAGAATGCCTCAGCTCATACGCAAGATCTTTCTTAAATATCTGCCAACAATTCTATTTATGAGGCGGCCAAAGAAAACGCGATTGAGGTAAGAGATTATTTTTTAAGAAATATATTATTAACAAAGAATATATAATTATATAATTCAAGATTTTCTTGTTAACTAAAAAATTAATAATTATTATAATAAAAAAATTAATCCAACTAGACATAAATCTCATAAAGATATATGTGATACAAATTTAATTAATTAAACATGTGATACATTTTTCCATCCAACGCCACATCGCTACTCGAATAAAGGGATATTTCTTTGTCAGATGGATGATGGAGATACCGAATGTAACACTGCCAGCTTCCACATATTCGGGGAGCCCGACCGAGGTGCCGAAACACCTGCCAGCCTCTTTGGCCAAGTCAAAGATGGAAGTAATGGAGCTATCCGATCTGCATCATCCTAATTGTAAGATCAATCGTAAGGTGCACCACACCACGAGCAGCTCCAGCGCTGCTGGGGGAGGGGAGGGCATGGGGGATAGAAGAGGATCCGAGAGTTCGGATTCCGTGTTGCTCAGCCCGGAAGCCAGCAAGGCTACCGAGGCAGTGGAGTTTATAGCGGAGCATCTCAGGAACGAGGACTTGTATATACAGGTGAAAATCTTCCTCATCTTTCTCATCTTTCTCAATAAATACTGTAAGAAAGTTGGTTATACGTCTTATGCATGAAATGAAAGACCTCTTAGATTTGTGTAACCAACATTTCGTTTTACTAAATCTTCCTTTTCTCCGACGTCATTCTTTTATAGACAAGGGAGGACTGGAAATACGTTGCAATGGTGATCGATCGACTGCAACTTTATATCTTCTTTATAGTGACGACCGCGGGTACCGTCGGGATCCTAATGGACGCGCCTCACATTTTCGAGTACGTGGACCAGGATCGTATCATAGAAATTTATCGCGGAAAATAAAATCTGATTTGTCTTAACGAATCGCAATTACAAATAATGTGCCATCGTTACCGACCGTTCTCATTTCGTCCTTTTCGAAATCGATTTTGTACAACGTCATGTGAATGATCTTGCCATGTCAGTTTTAAAACGTACAACGTTTACAGCTCAAAAGCAGTTATTCAAATCACACAAGTAATTATTTTTTATACAAATTTCTATCAAATCTTATGCAAAGTACAAATTTATTTAATGAAAGTTTCAACTCAATCTGCTGCCATTGTGTGTATGTATATTTTTTTTATTCAAGATTAGTAAAATTTTTTATTCGCAAATGTTCTTAGTTACAAAGTTCGGGCGATCGATATGGCATACATTATTTAGGTAATAATTCCACTAGCATTAATCCAGGCTGCCTCTGCGATTGTTGTCTTCCCCAATGCCATTAACTTCCGATAGCTCTATCGCGATGTGCTTAGACGAAGGGTTTGCGAAGCAAACATCGAATGGATCTCGTCTTTCATTTTATCGGAGTAAATAGATATTTCCAAAATTATTAAGCACATTATATATTATAAGAAATCACTTGCTAATTTTTTTAATTGTTTCGAAATAATATCATTTACATAACCAAAGAGAAATTTATATTTATGGTACTTAAATTAAGAATCCATTGCTTAAAAAAATTTAGAAACTTTGTTTTAAGAAAAAGAAAGAGAAAGAAAAAATATACATAGACTAAATTGTCTTTGTTAATATATTGCTTTGTTAATATATATTATAAATTTTTGTTAAAAAGAATTTGACTTTTAATTATTTAAGAGATATATTTTGTTAGAATATAATACAAATAGTTTTATCTATTTATATATTGTATAGATATCTTATTGGAAATATCATGTTTGCTCCTTCAAATGTAACTATCAAATGTAATAGACTTAATGTTAAACGATGAAATCCGCTTATGTAATATAGAGTCCGTAATTAGAAAAAAATGTGGGATTAATTAATCGAACTTTGGCAAGATTATTATAATATATTAATATAACGATGGTACGCACAAACACATGTTTAGTCAACTATATCGATATCTCTTAATTAGAATACAAATAATCCAATAGTCTGGTAAGTTAGCAAATATATAACGAAAAATATTATTTATATTATAAAATAATTCAAACTTACAAGGAATTCACGTTTAACATTAAAAATTATGTAAAGTTGTGTAAAATTGTCGCGCATTTTCCTAGGACCGTAGTTTCATCATTTATTAATAAATCTATCATTAAATGTATATTTTTTGTTTTTGAATCTGAGTTGCCAAAAGTATGCATGTTTAACGTACGTACATAATAATATGTACGTTAACAACTTTAGTGTTAAGTGTATGATGAAAAAACGGTCCTTTATCTGATTTCTTGATCGCAATTTTGGCGATCAGTTTCGACCAGTATCGATCAAAGTCTCAAATATCAAAGTTAAAAATTTCCTTGTAAAATAAGGTCGAAACATTTTTAACAATGCGCATCTACGTGCGAATAGATATGCGAAATCAATTTTGCGACGATGGCTTAGATATAGATTTGAAATAATTTTGATAATAATCGTGCAAATTATCGTTGCCACATTGTAATTTAGCTGAGCTCGCGTTTGATACTCATCGTCGTATCGTGTTGATTATACGTATTGATAGAATTGCGACGATTTCAACTCACGCTCATCAAATATTCGCATCGACGAGTTTCTAGTAACAAATTTCATGCGAGCATGAAAGATTATAAATTAAATTAATATAAATTATGAAGAGATTTTTTTCTCGTATCTAAATACGATGAGTTTAGCATTGGAAGACCAATACAAGTCAAGGTATAATTAAATAAATAAATAGATTTCGTTCATTGGAATGATAAAATAAATCTATTTCATTATCACTTGCATTTTTATCGAAATTATTTAAATAGAAATTATAAATTACTTTCAGAATGTGTTGACTCTGAAGTTGGCCTTCCAAAGATTAAAAATAAAATGACTCATACCACATATTTATCTGAATAATTATTACTGAATACATTGTAGAATATATACATATAGATACGATGCTTTCCTATTGTTTAAATTTTTCTTCATTAGATATTTCCACAAATTTTATTATATTTTTATTTTACAAACATAAAAATATGTGGTGAATAGCTTTCATTATTACAATTAACTTGTATGCTACGTGATAGAATTTAAAAGAGTTTCGTCTTAATATACGAAATAAGTAAACAAAGCAAAAATAGATAACGTTTAGTTGTTTAGACAAATATGTTTAGTTAAATGCGAAATGAGCCAATGTATTTGCGCTAATAACTATAAATGCGCATATTAGAAAAAAAACGCAAATTCCACGTTCATCGTCATAAGAACGTAGAATTATTATGCGTTAATAGAACATCATAATCATGCTTATCGTATTATATTGCGTATATTGTACAGAGAGGCTGTCAAACGGTCATGTGTTCTCTGATAGAGCGTTCAGCTGAGAGAAAAAGTTGCAATCGATTGTTGATTAATGAGGATTCTTATGCAAGTAGCGAAACAAACGAAAAAAATGTAATCTCTTCATATTATTCTATAATTTTATGCATTTTTTATCATTTTTTATCGTATCTCTCAATATATAGATAATTGCAAATTTAGTATTTATAAATTCTATGGACTTTACATTTGTAGCGAAACTCGTACATGGCAATTTATTCGATTATATCGAGATTTTCAATTATCAATTGATCAGTCTCACAGAATTTTTTAATATGATAAGTAGTTATTATACGTACATAAATATTTTATTCTATTTGATGAATAATAATGTTGTAGCTGTTGTAATGATTTTTCAAAAGTATTTATGTCTGTTAGTATGTAAATTAATCGTTATGTTTGTTTAAGCAAAATAAGTTTCTTACCCAAAGATGCTTGATATAGCAATAGTTGATGCGGAATCTTTAACGAAAGAATATATCTTTGATTATAACTCTTTATGTCAATTTTAGCAAATTGTATGAAGGGGAAGAAGGGAATACAGCTTTATATAATTTCCAAAATTTATAATATAAATCTTTTTCTCGATTATGATAAGTTAACAATAATTTATTTTATGTATAAATTTTACTTTTATAAACAATATTATGTTGCAATAATTCATTGAAAAAATTACTGTATGTTCATAATGGATATAACTAGAATAATTTATCTCTCTTACAATGCGTTGATAGCGTATGACGTGTCTTCCTCCACAAAAATACAATAATTAAAGTTTTTAGAGACCAGATATATTGTGTGTATTTTATTTTATTTTAGCTTTTTTACGTTGATGGGTTTTATCTAATTTATTGAGCGCGATTTAATATAAACAATGACAGTAAAAAAGTGTACATTTCAGCCGGTATACATGCGTTATTTATCTACTGCGACAAGAATAATTACCGCATTAGCGAATATAATATTTTATAATTTACTTCTGCGCATGAAACAAGAAATCGTTATTGTTGACCTACCAAGTTTGTACTTTATTATGCATGATAAATAATAGTGACTATATATTCGTTCATTACTGTATGTTGGTAGGTAAAAGAGAACTTTAACGCGTAAAATAGCTAAATCCTTTTTATAATGAAATAACACATCAATAAAATCATCAAATTTCATACCTTCACGTGTCTTGACTGATACATGATTTAAAGATAACACTTCATATATATATATATATATATATATATATATATATATATATAAAACAAAAAAAATAATATTGCTTTCCCGAATTACCGATGAGAATCCATCATGATAAGTGAGACGTTTTTGGCCGAAAGAAACTGAAAAGAGGAGAGAATGGAAGACGTTTATTTTCATTTCATTTATTTCAACAATTTCATAATAACGTAATAATGTTAATAATATTACAATGCGGCGATTACAGTGCTCACCAGTTAACAGGGATTCTCATATCGATCAACGTTGCCTCGAAAAGGAGCCCAGCGTAGAAATATAACAAATTTTTATTCACGCTCTCTTATATCTCCTCCGTGGTATGGATTTACTATTATCGGACCAGGCTGTTGTTCAGAGGCATAATTAAAAGTCAAGTGAGATCGGGTGAGTTCAGTTCAATTGCATCGTTCCCACCAGGGTCTACGGAAATATAGTAACTCTTTTCATACATTCTCGCGTCTTCTCTATCCTCCCATTCGTATTCTCGATGGCGATCAATAATGCACACCATTGTCGATCTTAACGATTGATTGTAACGGTGGACAATACGTGTGACGATACCTTTTCTTCTTTTAAAGTACATAGGGAATAAAGAGATATAGGTGTAGGTAGATAACGAAGAGAGTTAGATCGCGTTCTATATATAATCGGTCTTCTGAAATCGCATCAGCGCGGCTTTTACGTTTCTGTTAAATTCAATAGGTTAGCATTGAGAGATAATTAGGTATAACTCCTTCTTTCTTCATCGTTAGTTTAGAGAGAAAGTGATCTCGATAAAGTTCGACCCTAACTGCTAATAGACTATCTCTGAATCATCCCCTATAATTACTGTCAGAGTATAACTACGTCGCTATTGATTACAGGCTAGCTTTTAATATTCAGTTAATCGATTATTAATCATTTCTTTTTATTCATTATTACGAATATGACTTTAGCATTCAATAGTTTAAATATATATATATAGTTTATGTTTAGTGGTACATGTGATTTTTTTTAATAGTTTCGCTTTTATTTATTTATTTATTTTGTTTGTTATCATTATCATTATTTCTCTTGCGGTAATTTTTGATGATTACTTTTCTTCCTCGCTATTTCGCTAATCATCCAGCGCGAATACTTTTATATATGTATATATATATATATATATATATATATTTTTTTTTTATAAGATAATGCAGCTTCTTATGAAATCGCGCATGGTAAATTAGCCGAACGAGGATCCAGTACGGAAGGAAACGAGTATTGCCTGGAAATAACTGAGTTTCACTTGTGTAAAAATTCATTTTTAAATTCATTTGGCTGTGACGTGTTTATCTCTCTTATCTGTTTTTTCTTTTTATAAAGACATTTTTCTGTGCGTCTTTCTTTTACTGCGGAATTCCGACGCAAAATATGTATATTCGTTCGAATCGAACTCAGGAATTTGTCCTCCCACTCTCATCTCAGTGCAATAAATTCGAGTATTACTTGACACTAACATTCTGCGTTTGACATAAGAAATTTAAGAGAAATGTAAAGCTAAACGAAATTAATATTTTTATTATTATATTTTGTTATTATATTTGTTGTTGTTCATCTAATCGAAGAGAATGTTATATATAATTTATTTTAACTTATAAAGATGTAATCGATATCTTTTTTTTACTGAAATGAAATTTAATCTTGATATAGAGAATTATTATCATTACAATTATTTAATTTTGTTTCCAGAATACATGTTATTAAATCGAATGCGAAATAAATCGACGGGACATTTTTCTATACAGATTTGTAACAAATTACGCGGAGTAATTTCGCAGACTCTCCCCGATCCTCTCGTAACGGATTAATTCACAA